GGGAATAATAAATCTGTACAGGCCACGCCGTTCTGCCTTCTTCCCAAGGTCTGCTTCAGTGGCGAGCCCCAATTAAGATAACTGTATATATTACACATATAAAACTGTAACCGAAACATTCGTCGCGCTTTCTTCTTCATCAAATGCTAGGTTTCCTCTGTACTCTAACCACACTCCGCATTCTCGGATAATCGCATTCTTAGGAGATGACTGAAACTTGAGTCTTTGTCCTTGGAACCAAGTGTCTTGCCAGCTGTCGGTCTTCTAACTCACAAGGTCTCAGGTGCCGTAGTCGAAGTACAGCATATCCTGGCCAAGTTACGACTGAAAATGAGTTTAAACGCACCGATCAACTGAATACATTCCCATGCCATGGCGCATGTCTAGTTTCGTTCCTCCAGGTAACCGGATGTGACAAATAAACTCTTCGAACACTGATGCTCCGTCGTAAACCTTTTCGGAGACTTCCATTTTGTCCCCAAATTTATGTTAAATTATTGCATATTTGGCACATGTCGCCAATTGCAGTCAGGGTAAAACACAAATGGCAGTATTTTTGCATAATTCATCTCGACACACTTTAATCCGCTTAACTAGGGCTCGGCAGTTTTTGTGTGCCTATTTAACTTGTGTTCCTTCATCATATTCGAAGATCTAAAAAAGGTCTGCTTTTCGGTACTGACCTTCATTTATTACCTCCATCTTTAGAAAAGAGTCTCATAGACGCCGAAATTCTCCTGCTAAATATGTGCTTCGACGACATCGAAGGTTACATCGGCCATATTGTCAGACTAAACAGGGCTCGATCATTCAATTCACTGAACAAACCAACTGTCGATGATAATGTCTCCATTTCTGGCGGTGACGACAAGAAAAAGAAGAAGAAAAAATTGATCTTCAGAAAGCGTTCCACAGCCAAGCCGAAAGAGAAGGATCTGCCAAAAGTCCTCAGTAAGCTTAATTTTTTGCACTGAATATACTCTGCACCTCCTTGAAAAGACTGTTGAGTACTATCACTGTCTAACTGAATTTTTGAGGAAAGTTCGGTCTCCAGTTGGAGACAGCTTCAATTGTCACTTTGATTTTTGTCTTTTATGTTAAATTTGACAACTAAGGGTCGGGAAGAAGAAGAAGACGACTCGATTGCTGTGACAATAATTTTATTTGCCTGGCGTTTCGAGAGCTATCGCGGATTTATCATCAGAGACATAAGCAGAGAGCAGTAGCAGATATGCGGGTTGTTGCGAAACCGTATGTTAAAATTGAGTCAATTATTGTGGCCGTCGCGATCTATCTTGATTTTACAGTTTTTTAATTTTCAATGTTTCCTCTTTGGGAAGACTTTGTAAACAGACGAAAACTGTCTGCGCCGATGGACCATTCTTTTGTGAATTCAGTACTTATTACAGGCTCCAACACCAAAAATAGAATGTTAACTTATGACTAACGAAATTCGCCAGTTTCATCTAACTCACTATGAGTCTTCCATGTATAAGGAAGTTACCTCTCCAATAGCCCCCTAAATGGAGGAGCATTGTAGGCAGATTTGTACTGGATTGCATGGAAACTAGGATTGGGTTAAAGGTTTCGATTAGGGTCGAATTTGGAGTCAGGTATAATTTATCAGTAAGGTAAGTACGGGGTTACGTTTAGGGGTTAAGGTTAGGGCTTAGAGTAGGGTTACGTTTACACCTAGGGGCCAAGGGTTTGTTTATATTATTCAGATTAGAACACAGGAATATTTAGCCTTTATACCGTTATGCATGGCCCTTGGACGGGGCGTTCCTATTTCCGTTCCTTGTGTAGGGGTCAATATAAGTAAGAGGAACATTACCGGCAATGTTTATCTGCCTAAACTACTAGCCGCTGGGTGACTGCTAACAGGGCTAGGGAGTGAGCCCAAGAAAGAGCGGGACAAGCGATTTCCGTGCACGATCGGTGAATATTTATCAAGAAGGGCCAGTATCTCCTGACCTGAAGTGGCAAGACAACGAGCTCGTGGCTCAATGGTTAGGACGTTAGACTCCGACCGAACAGGTCGCGGGTTCGAACCTCGGGTGGTGCACAAACTGAGGCTGGATATGACTGGCTGACGATGGCTAATAAGCCAGAAATGGCCATTCCAGTGTTAGTTTTACTTGTAACTGAATAAATACACGTTTTTGTAGCCTGCAACAGCATTCGGTCTTTAGCCCCATCCCGTTGGGATGAATGCGTGCAAGTTCGTTACCAGAAAGGCACTCGTGATAACCCTGCCTAGACGCCATCTTACTGATTCGCTTGCTGCGTCTGCATTCTGACAGGGTAGCACTAAAAACACATGTTTGCCAATCTGACTTTTCAAACCTACGAATTTCAATCTAGGGAATCGTGCAAGCATTTATGAATGTCGTCGAGCGAAATTTATTTAGTATATACATATGATAGTATGGGGCCCACGGATCTGATTAAGGAACATTTGTGTCCCATTGTGCCCTGAAGCTCCCTTTAGTGCCCTTGCAGGCGACTGCGACCAGTCGCCCCCCCGAGCGCGCGCGATGGACAGACAGATCCAC